TATAACAACAGAAACATTTTCTCTAAGCCTAGCCTGCAAGTGTCGGTATATTCACCAGGCTTAACACGACATTCATTGATGTTTGGAAGCGTCTCATGGGCTCAGGTCAGGGCTGCCGTCGTCGTTATCCAGTTACACGTGCTTCAGGTTGTGTCTGTAGGCAGCACAAGCACGGCTGTTGTTTCTAAGTTTGTAGATGTCTATTTTTCGGTGTTTTATCTACAATGTTGCCCTAAGTAGTATTTGACCCTGTAGCAGTGGCTTTTCTGTTGTGGAGGAAGCAATAATAATGAAACAGGAACGTTTTCAAAGGGTTCTGCTCAGTTAACTGATAAGATAACGAATAATGTCATTTCATGTAGAAAGATTTACAGAACATTTTTGCTGCTACTATTTATAAAAGCTAAGCAATGTTACATTAGAGCAACTTATCACCCTATGCTTAGCACCCCAGGTGACGCTGTGGTTAAGCACCGGCTGTGGCGGCACCCACCAGCGGCTCTGCAGAAGACAAGTGGCGTTGTCTGCTCCTGTGAAGGCTCCGTCCTGGGAGCCTTCCACAGACAGGGGTCAGAGTCGCCCTGGTGCCACGGAGTCTGCATCTGGATAGTCTACGATTAAAACGGATCGCGTGCGTACGTGACAAAGGATCTTGGGGGGGGGTGTCTGTGTGAGCGACGCCAGCCCCCGGGTGCCACGCTAGGTCACCCCGGGTGCCACGCTAGGTCACCCTCACAGTCTGAAAACTAGAATATTAAAAAGGCGTCAATTCTCCCCGAGCTGACCGGCAGGTCCGATGGCTACCAAAGAAATCCTACCATTTCCTCCTGATTCCCCCATCATTTTTTAGGTTGACAAGTGGCTTCTGCCATGGAAATTCAAAAGGCAGAGTGGCTGTTGGTATGGAGCACCCCACCCACCGAACGGACCAGCCTTGGCCAAGTGACCGCCCGTTCCCGAGGACACCTTACCGCAGAGTTTTAAACACACTCACATGACCAGCTGGGTCTCAGGGAGCAAACCCGGCGGGGGCTCAGGGAACAGATGTGACCTGGGCAGCCCTTTGGCCAGGGATGAAAGTCGGGG